GTAGCACGGTATATATATATATATATATATATATATATATATATACACACACAAAGAAAAACAAGTAGACAGAATTGAAAAAAATAGAAAGCTAGTGTTGTTGTTTTTTTTTATAAAAAAAGACAAAGTAGAATTAAATTAGAATAGAAAATGCTAGAGTTAGAGGTTTAAATAAAGATGGAACAGATGTGTTTTTAGTCGTTTCTTGAAGATGGCTAAGGATTCAGCTGCTTGGATTGAGTTGGGCAGGTGATTCCACCAGGAGGGAACAGCTAATGAAAAAGTCTGTGAGTGATTTTGTGCCTCTTTAAGATGGCACAATAATGCATAGTTCGCTTGCAGAACGCAACTGCCAAGAGAGCATTGCACTAGTCCAGCCTGGATAGAACAAGAGCTTGAACAAGGAGTTGTGTTGCATGTTCTGAAAGAAAACGCCTGATCTTCCTAATGTTGTATAAAGCAAATATGCAGGACCGTGCAGTTTTAGCAATGTGGTCTGAGAAATTCAGCTTATCATCAATCACAACTCCAAGGTTTCTAGCTGTTTTTGAAATAGTTATGGTTGATGAGCCTAACTGGATGGTGAAATTTTGATAAAGTGATGGGTTTGTTGAAACCACAAGCAGTTCTGTCTTAACCAGGTTGAGTTGAAGTCGATGGTCCATTATCCAACAAGAAATGTCTGTTAGACATGCTGAGATGCGAGCATCTATCGTTGGATCATCAGGATGGAATGAGAGGTAGAGTTGAGTGTCATCAGTATAGCAGTGATGTGAAAAGCCATGTTTCTGAATGACAGAACCTAGTGATGCCATGTAGACAGAGAAGAGAAATGGTCCAAGAACTGAGCCCTGAGGCACCCCAGTAGCTAGATGTTGCGATTGGACCTATCTGAGAGGTAAGACTCAAACCACTGGCGTGTGCGATTCCTGAGATACCATTTTCCAATAGGGTTGACAGGAGAATCTGGTTGTTCACCGTATCAAAAGCAGCAGATAGATCCAGCAAGATAAGTATAGAAGATTTGGAAGCTGCTCTTGCCAGTCTTAGGGCTTCAACAACTGAGAGCAAGGCAGTCTCAGTCGAATGTTCACTTCTGAAGCCAGATTGGTTGCTGTCCAGAAGGTTGTTCTGTGAGAGAAAGGCAGAGACTTGGTTGACCACAACTCGTTCAAATGTTTTTGCAATGAAATGTAGAAGGGAAACTGGTCTGTAGTTCTCTAAAAGAGTTGGGTTAAGAGTGGGTTTCTTAAGAAGTGGGGTTATACGAGCCTGTTTAAATGTTGAGGGCAAAACACCAATTTTTTAACTTTAAATTATTATTATATATATATATATATATTTTTTTTTTTTATCACCAAACAAAATTTGATGTCTTTTCAACATCAGTTGCCCTATGGGCCTTGCCTCTGTCCTCGATGATATTTATTTATTTGTTTTGACCCATTACATAAGGGTGTAGAACAATTCATATTAAAATTTATTTACTCAGAAAAGATAAGTAAAAATCACATTAGACAGAATTAATACAAAGAAAAGAGACAGGAATTTGATAGCTTTTCATACATTTATATAATTTTATAGTGTTGTTTTAAAACATATGTAACTGGGATTTTAAGTAAAGAGTTCTGTATTGCAATTCCATACCACAACTACTACAACTACAAATAAGTAACACCATTTAACATGCATTTTTCTAATATTTCCATAACAGCTCCCCCTGTTGACCCCTGCTACAACTACAATGTCCTTGACGATCCATGGAGATCCACCAACAATCAACATTCCTCTCAAATAATGTGTGACACTTGGGTCAGCTGGAATGGCTGGTACCGTCTCTTCATTCAGGGTCAGAGCGTTCAGATGCCAGACACATGTGTTGAGGAGTATAGTTGTGGCACTCATGCTCCACTGTGGCTGGATGGAGGACATCCAACAGTTGAGGATGGAGTGGTCACTCGAGATGTCTGCGGTCACTGGAACAATGACTGCTGTGCTTTTCTGTCCAATCCCATTAAAGTCAAAGCCTGTCCAGAAGATTATTATGTCTATGAGTTTGTGAGTCCAACTACCTGCAGTTTGGCATACTGTGCAGGTAAATACATTTACATGTGCCCTCTGTTTATGTAACAGATCATTGTTTTCATGTAATATTGTTTTTTCAGATGCAAGGAACATGAACACTACCTCTACAACTGTAATGCCAGAGACAACCACAGAAACTACAGCAGAAACCACAACAACTGGTAATACAATGTGTTGTATAACAATCTGGAGGATTTTTGTTTTATGTGAGCAAATCAGATCCATGTTATGTGTTATTACATATGTAAAGAATTTAACACAGATCACCATGCCAAACAGCTTGACTAATATTATCAGTGGACCTTAAGGGGGAATTGATTATAAATGCTTAAAGGGTTAGTTCACCCAAAAATGAAAATTAGCCTGTGATGTACTCACGCTTGAGGCATCCTGTATAGGACTTTCTTCTTTTAGACGAGTCCAATCCGAGTTATATAAAAAATGTTCCTGGCCCCTCCAAGCGTTTTCATTGCAGTGGGCGGGTGCTTTTGTGCAACAGTCCACAAGACGTCAAATAAAGCACACGCATCCAAAATAAAACGTGCCTCACACTGCTCTGGGGAGTGAATAATGGCCTCCTGTAGTGAATCCATGTGTTTTTGTAAGAAAAACATCCATATTTCTAACATAATAAACACTTTTCTCTCACTTCATCTGTCTGTCGTATGCGAAAGTCGTTCCGGCGGATGACATAGGACGTATGGGTCGCATGCGCGCGCACCTCTGAGATATGCTAGTCTCACGAGTGTGTTTACAGGAGCAAAAGAAGCAAAGTTTCCTTACTTTAGCAAAGGAAAACCAGTCTCCTCTTGGCTTATATCGAAATCCTCCAACATTTTTCTTTACAAATCCTCGTTTTGTACTTCTAATTCGTGACTGGCATTTTATTTTGTTCTCTCTCCATGTTCTTCACTAATCACGCTACGCCGACGTCCTACGTAATCCGCCGGAATGGCTTCCGCATACGACAGATAGATGAAGTGAGAGAAAAGTGTTTATTACATTTGAAATATGGATATTTTTCTTACAAAAATGCATGGATTCGCTACATGAGGCCTTTATTCACCCCCGGAGCCATGTCAGGCATGTTTTATCACGGATGCACACACTTTATTTCACGTCTTGTGGACTGTTGTACAAAAGCACCCGCCTACTGCAATGATAATGCTTGGAGGGGCCAGGACAATTTTTAATATAACTCCGACTGGATTCGTCTAAAAGAAGAAAGTCCTATACACCTAGGATGTTATGAGGTTGAGTAAAACACAGGGTAATTTTCATTTTTGGGTGAACTAACCCTTTAAAGGATTCATGTAATTCACTAGAAAAATTTTAAATTAAATTAAATTAATTAACTTGAGACCAAGAGCAATAATCAGTCAAGGGCCCAGAATGTTTAGAATAAGGATATATGGTAATGTAACAGCTTGTATCTGCAACACTTAGTTATAATAAAATTTCTTTCTGTTGGTGGGGTAATATGTAAAGCTGAGAATTGATTACTGTAGGTTACTAATCAGTGCTTATGTTTACATTTATGTTTTTTGCATTTAGCAGACACTGTTTTACAAAACAGCTTCTTCTTCTAGGTAATAGAAATCCCTGCTCTGAACTCAGCTGCTCTGAGGATGAAAGATGTGGGATGAAAAATGGTGTTTATGGCTGTTTGTGTGAAAAGAACCATCACAGACAACGACAACGTCATGACTCTTTTGGTTGGTAACATTCCACAACAAAATGCAAAAAAAAAAAAAAATTTTTTTTTTATAATAATTCCATCATATTGGCTTTTTTTTGGTCAGATTTCTCAGAAACCTGTGAAAGCAGCTCTGGCTCCATGTCTGTGTCTCGCTGTCAGCTCTTTGAGGCTGGTTTTCCAGCTGATGTCTTACACCTCAATGATCCCAGCTGCAAAGGAATGGTCCGAAATGGAAAAGTGGAATTCCATTTTGATAACGATGAACTCATCTGTGGTACAAATCTTGTGGTATGATTAATATGTATTATCTATTCAAATACACCATCCAAACATTTGTAGTGCCTGATTAAATCAGCAGTTGGATTTGAATTTAAACAATTGGTGAATCTCTCTGAGACTTTGAGAATATCTATGGAGGATTGCTTGGGCCCTTTCTTTGGTTACAGATTGATTCTTTGGAGGGCCCAAACAGACCACCCTAAAGACTACTCAAAGTCTCAAAGAGATTCACTGGAAGGGTTCACAAGACCACACCACAACAAGACTGGAACTGGTGCCTGCATTCTCCACCAATAATATGTAATCTACCATTATTTCAATTGATTGTTTTTTTGTGTTTGTTTCTAATTTGAAATACAAATTCAATTTTAGCAAAATTCCAAAAAGTATATATGTTGTATATGTTGTCCACAGGCCAACGGCACCCATTTCATCTACAGTAACTTTATTCTGGGGACACCGAGGTCAGAAGGTCTCATCAGCAGAGAGAAAATCCTTAAGCTTTCGTTCAGCTGTGTTTATCCTCAAACACAATCACTTTCCATGAATGCGGAAATCAACCCACTGGAGAGGTGCAAGTCAAACACAAATTCTGATTTCAGCTGTACTCTTTTATTAAAGAAGTAGTTCACCAACATGGAATTTTTCTCATCATGTTGTTTAAACTCTCATGGGTTTATTTGCTCAGTGGAATTTTACTAGTCACATTTTTCAATGCAGTTAATCATCATGAGGACTTTCAAGCTTCAAAAAGAAAAGAAAAAAAACCACCACCACAAATGCATTTCGAAAATGGTCTATATTACATATACGAATGAATCATTCTGACAAAAAGATCAGAAAACAAATTGCTTCCAATTCGGACATCACTACTTCTCTAATGAGCTGTCATGAACGCATCAAAGAAAATATTGTGGATATCAAAATTTTCAGTGAATAATGATGGGAGTTTTTGTGTGATCGAATCGTTTAAGCCGAAAAATAAATGTATAAAAAGTAAATGTGTTATTTTTTTTAACAAAGAATAGATATTTTACCAATGACACAGTCATTTTAAAACCGATCTGTCCATTATTTCAACAGCATTGTGCACAAGACGCTCCCCGCTGGTGAAGGCAGATATCAGGTTCGGATGATTCCATATGAGGATGATGAGTTTACCCGGCCCTTCACTGGTAAAGTGGATGCAGAGCTCGACCAGAAGATGAATGTGGAAGTTCGTGTTGAAGGGGTTGACAGCCGCCAGTTTGCCTCAGTTATGGACACGTGTTGGGCTACACCTGTGAATGATCCTGATTACAGTCTCCGCTGGGATCTCATCGTCACAGAGTAAAACTATTTATAATCCTTAAAGCTCAGGCTTAACTGTAACTGTAACTTTTAGCATTGCCTAAGAATTGTGACTTTCAGTATTTTAGAACTAAAGCACAAGATCCCATGTTTTATACCTGGAATACAAATGTGTAACGATTTACAGAATCACTTTTGAACTGAATGAAAG